CAGGAATCAGAATGTTGATTCATTCAATTTATCATCCACTATAATTCTTGAATTTTCCTCTCTCCTGCTACCATCTCTAGTTAATCATTCCACTTTTTGGTCTCATTATCCCTCCCTATATCAACTTTCGCATTCTCTCCATTTTCCTGACTCTAACCTCATTGATTTTACCCATCTCCCCAGTGTCCCAAGGTTAGAATGCATAGTCGCATAGCACCTCAGATCTGTGATCCTGTTTCCTATTACTCACTGTTCCTTAGACTTATTAGCATACCTACCCATCTCCCAAAACATTTGACAAATATGCTACTACAGTACCCCCAAAATAAGTTTTGCAATTTGCTTCTTGCTTTTTTTTTAAAGATTCTGGTTAACAAACAGAAATAATAAACAAAGTTTACTAGTCCATTGCTACAGGCACATTTATCTTGCTCTTCCCTTCACTGACTCAATTTAAGGACATCAAATTTAACACCAGCTACAGGAATGCATTATTGTTTTATTACTAAGCGGTCATCCAAAAAATACAGATTAAAGCTCTGCTCTTCACACATAGATAACCCAGTGAGTATCATGGGCCCTCACCATGGGAGGTCACTTGTATTCGCTGGGTCATGTCACATGCTTGGTTGAACACATCTTAGTAGTGTGATGGACTAAAACAGATTATAAGAAAAATGGTGTGGTTCCACTTAGCATGTTGACTTGCCAGTTACCAAAAGAAAGCAAAGCAGAATATGACAATAATAAAGGGAATGAAAAAAGAACCTTAAAGTGTTTGGTCCAAATTTAATTATTTTACCACAAATTAATAGCAGAGTTAACAAAACCCAAATGAGCAGAAATCTCATATATACAAACTTTCATTTGTTAGGGAATTATTGACCTGATGGCTAGCTCGAGTTTACAATTAAAATATTACTACACTTAGGAAATTAAACAGCAGTTCATGCACTTTCCTTCTCCCTGGAATCTCTATCTACCCGGCTTACATATTTGCATCCACAAACCTCGGTATCCACTCCTACCTTGTCCATCTAACAAAGTTCTACTCATCCTTCAGGAATCAGAATGAGATTCCTCCAATATTTTATTCCCCTCCTTTACATTCACATCCTATCTTATGTTTACTTATTGCTTTAAAATAAAACTATTTATCTACAGAGTTGTATTTTCTCATTTGGAGATCTGCCTCTTTTCTCTGCTTTTCATCTGCCAGCTGGTCCTGAGAATTACTCAATAAAATTAAGTTAAATAAATAAATTATTTTCAAAGTAGCATTTTCCCAATAGCTATATTTTAAAATATAGGTAGTAAAATTACTAAATGGTTGAATGCACTCTAGAGATATATTGTTCATATAATGGAATAAGCCCAATTTACTATGTTT